TGTCCGAACGAGAGCTAGCATGTTACGTCCGTACATGATCGAGCTAGTATGTTACGTCCGTTCTAAATAGAACAATTACGTAATGTCCGTTCTAAATAGAACAATTACGTAATGTCCGAACTAGAGCTAGTATGTTACGTCCGTACATGATCGAGCTAGTATGTTACGTCCGTACATGGTCGAGCTAGTATGTTACGTCCGTTCTAGGTTGAACAATTACGTAATGTCCGAACTAGAGCTAGTATGTTAGGTACGTACATGATCGAGCTAGTATGTTACGTCCGTACATGGTCGAGCTAGTATGTTACGTCCGTACTAGATAGAACAATTACGTAATGTCCGAACTAGAGGTAGTGTGTTACGTCCGTACATGATCGAGCGAGTATGTTACGTCCGTACATGATCGAGTTAGTATGTTACGTCTGTACATGGTCGAGCTAGTATGTTACGTCCGTACTAGAGAGAACAATTACGTTATGTCGAACTACAGTTAGTGTGTAACGTCCGTACCCGATCTATATTGTATGTTGCGTCCGTATTAGATAGAACAATTACGTTATGTCCGAACTGGAGCTAGTCTGTGACGTCCGTAAATGATCGATCTAGTCTGTAGCGTCCGTACTAGATGAAGTACGTTACACGTACTTCATCTAGTTGAGACCAAGAATTCAAGTCACTTACGCCCGCACAAAGTATATAATGTCCGAATTCGAGCTAGAACGTTACGCACATACATGATCAAGTTAGTCTTTAATGTCCGCACAAAGTATATAATGTCCGAATTCGAGCTAGAACGTTACGCCCATATATGATCAAGTTAGTCTTTAATGTCCGTACAAAGTATATAATGTCCGAATTCGAGCTAGAACGTTACGCCCATACATGATCAAGTTAGTCTTTAATGTCCGTACAAAGTATATGATGTCCGAATTCGAGCTAGAACGTTACGCCCATACATGATCAAGTTAGTCTTTAATGTCCGCACAAAGTATATAATGTCCGAATTTGAGCTAGAACGTTACGTCCATACAAGATCAAGTTAAGTCTCTAACGTCCGTAAAAGAATGCGCAATCCACTAGATTATGGGTTCTCAAGATATCATCTACGTTGAAACATCCTTGCACTCCAAGTTCGTGCTGTAGCTTTGTACTGGCCTTCCATGCATTTGTAGGATCACATCAAGCCCAGTCTTCAAATTTGCAAAATTGTCGTCATTGGAACACACGATGGAATGGAGTCATTTGTGAACATTTGTCCATCACGCGAACATGTTTGTGCATTTTACTTAGAAGATGGTGAATGGTTGCATTAATTGAACGAGTAGCTAAGGAGTGGTTGTTCAGTATTAATGGAATGACCCTGGAAATAATTATTGTAATAACAAGAGGCCCATTGGCCTTAACGGTCACCCGAGTCCTACAGTATTTATTTTTGTTGTTGAAATATGTACCAATTTGAGTAAAAATTGTTAAGTATACCGTTAACTTAAGGTGTTTCCACACATCGTCATCAGCGTCCATTTTTGTGACGTACTTCCGGAAAAAGTAAAGCTCGGACTCAATTTATCGAAATGTACATGTACACCGTGTCGTCATTTCCGTAGTGCGCATCTGGCATTCAATATCGTAGTGCAAAGTATAGTAACACCTGGGCCGTTTTCGTTTCGTTTCGCTCTGTCGATTAAATCGTGTTTACAAATGTATTCTACTTACTCTGTGAAAATAATGTTTTTTGTAAAATATCAAGATACCTATGAAATGCATGTATGAGTGCAGGTGAGAACAGCATACCATGCGATAGCCTCTGGTCACATATGTACCTGACATGTAATTATAAATATACCGTGAGTTAGTGGACTGTGGAATGATGTCCAAAGTGTACATGACTGAGGGTAATTTGGTTCCATTGAAGAACAATAAATTGATCATTTTTGTTATATGTAAACAGAGACAACTGTCATTGTGTAAATGTCATCCCTCTACAAAAGTTCCGATTTTGTTCAAGGAAGATAACTCTCACCTGGATCAAAGTGATTGTAAAATGTAAAATAAATTAATTATAAAGCCACTGTGTATATGTATAGATCTTTGTGTCCTGTTTGCTTTTAGCTTGTAGATAATCACTTGTATCCGTACAAAATCAATAAAATTTTGCAGGTTAATTGCGAAAGTGTTGAGCTCCCTTAAGTCAGGACCATGAGCTGATCATTCCTAGATCGAGTTGCAGTTAAATCGGCCTTTAAGAACTTGTTTTTAAGTTTGAAATAGTTATTTTCAAAATAGCGGCCGTGGCAGCTAAATTGACTTTCTGATCGACCTGGAAAATAACAACACTTTGTCAGGACCATTAGTCGATCATTCCTACCAAGTTTCAGGTCAATCGGCCTAGCAGAACCTTGACTTGACTTGAAATAGTTTTTCAAAATGGCGGCCATATTGGATTTCTGATCGACCCGAAAACTAACACTTCGTCAGGGAGATGTCAGTAACCTTCCCATGAAATATTAATGAAATCCCTTTGCCAGTATTTCAGCTTAAGTTGAAAATGCTCGAGCATGGGTTTTGTTCTAAAGCCTAATTTCTTGTTCGGTTTATAAATAATAAATAACATTCTATTTTGTCAATAATTTGGGAATGTTTTCAATATTGACATTTGACTTTTTGAGTTAAAAAAATGTTGTTTTGAGCACAAAAACCATGCTTGATCATGACGACGGTTTCATGAATATGGACCCTGGTGTTAAACTGAATACAAATTACTTCAACAAATGTCAAGTTTTCAAGTTCCTTGATCGTTCAAATATCAAGTGCACTTGATTTCAATGTAGTGCATGTTTACCAAACAATAGGCGACAATTAATAACAAAATTTTCTAACACGGCTACCTATGCTGCCAGGCCTCATGGTTTTCTCTGGTACTCCGATTTCCTCACACACCAAGACGCTCTTTGCTCTTGCATCCCAGTGATTAATAGTGGTAAATAAAAAAAAAATCATCAATGTTGTAAAATAACTTAAGGTTGATATATAAATATGTATCTATGTTGTAGGTGGACATGCTGTTGCAGACCGATTATAAAGCCGAAATTCAGTGTTTAGAATCCATCTCTCCAACTTTCCTCACAGACGTCTACCTGCCTGGTAAACTACAGCAAGGAGGTTGGTTATAACGCTTCCTGTATCAGAGATACAGAGTAACCACTCTCAGAGTAACCACTCGGCAGAAAGTATCAGAAAGCAGACAAACAATTGATTAATTTCAACAATTTAATTGGTCTTGTCACCAATCTATGATCTCCCTTTTCTACGGAAATGACTGTCTATATTCAATGCTCCACTGCAATGCAAATGTGCATTACAAGTCTGAAGAGCAATTGTTCTGTAGCAGAACTAGGCTCACTCCAGTAGCCAGACTGGTTCCAGAACGTTACATTATCCTTGCATTGCAAAGCCTTGAAGCCCCATGACCAGGCCAGAGGTCCAGTCCATGGACCGATGTACGCCACCAGATGACCAGCCTTGTTGGCTTTCGGCTCTTAACTGGATGTTGATGGCTGTCCAGAGCCAAGGATCATTTGTCATCTGTAAATAACAGAATACATTAAAGCAATCTGACAAACAATACATCTGATTGATCATTCAATAATATCGGTATCTGGCTACAACTACAAGTTGCAAAAAGTTCAAATATTTATTTACATATTTAAATTCAAATTTGAAGAATTTTATATGGATTTTTTTCAATGATTAATTAAAGTCAAATCACATTTTAAAGTATTTAATTAAAGTGTTTAAATGAATTTGTACACAAAGTTTTCGATTTAACTGATTTCAAAGTTTAACAGGTGAAGTGAATTGGGATGAGTAACAAAATCCTTAATAAGCTTGACATTTAGCAAAGAGAACACTGGACAAGCATTACCTACTACGTTACCTGTGGATGATCTCCCTTTAAAGAAAGCTTCCTGTGGTCTTAGCTTGTTTATTCCTGTTTAATGAAAGCTTCTTGGTTGCTATAGCTTGTTTAGGGGACCAGCTATTTTGTCTGCTGCACTTCAATGAAGGTTATTTCATGTGTTTTTTTTTACATGTCTTGTAGGAATCATGATTCCTTTGGTTTTTATATGGTGGTACAGTATATGTCAAAACAATAACACATTTTGGATGAAATTTACTTGCTATTCCAGATTGACATCAATATAATGGTTTCCTATGCCAGAATTTAATATAATTTTTTAGGTTTTACCATTGGAACATTTGACACGGATTTCCAGATTTATATATTTTTGGACAACATCAAAGAATAACAATCAATTTTCATCCCGATTACTTTTAAATGCAGTCTTATTTACGCTGCTAAGAGCTTTTTTTTCTCTCGACTAACAGAGCAAAGTCCACATCTTCCGAGTAACTTTACAATTATGGCACAAATTTCAGTTAGGAAAATGCCTGGTTTTCTTTTTTCATCTAAACAACCAGAAATAAGTCAGTTTACACCAGTTTTCCTCTAACCAGCCACAAGTATAGCTCAAGATTTATACCCATTTTAATAACTCTTTATAGCTCATACCACCTTTCCTGTTAGTGATCTTCATTGTTTTCATCATACAAATAGTTTATTCACAGCTGGAAGTGACAGCAATCAGGTATAAAGTATGTATAGAACATGCAAAAATATTTATAACATATATTTCCGCAGACCAAAGGTCTGATCACAATTTCGGACAAAACAAATTTTGAAATCCAATGCCTCGGGAACTGTTTTCTATGTGCTATGTGGATTTTTTATTAGTATTTATACATGTCTTGCAGCTTTAACCTACTTTAGTTACCATATTTCCAATATTCAGGGCTGTTAGTTCAGTGCTGGGGAGGGGGAAATATTTATATTTAGTTTATGCTACAGAGATTATGTTCTACATTCGCGTCCGAGACATTGGATTTTTTTTAAAAACAGTAATTGTTAATTCAATTATAAATATAGAACTAAACAAACGGCATTCCATGTTCACATTTTTTCTTTTTTTATTGTTTTTTTTTTTATTTCTTAGTTGGATGCAAATGACAACAATGATGTATTTTCGACAGAGAGACACGACAACATGATTACAATGTGTTTAATGATTTAACAGTGATTAAAAGGCTACCATTAAAAGGACTACCTACACAGTATATCCATGGTCCACAACATTCTTTTTTTAAATTGACTTGAGAAAAGTTTAAGTATTTAGTCTTTTAAGCACATGGTTGGACATTTGAATTTAAACACATTGAAGGAGCCTAGACTTTAGACACATAAGGTAACCTGTTGACAGTCCCATTTATTTGTCCTATGTTGTTTTATGTTACTACATGTAACAAGTGTCCATGACTGTAGGTTTATGTCCGGAGATTGGGGGAATGATGGTACTGGCAGTACATGTACCTCATGATGAAATGATGGATGTCCTATGTACAAATGTCCACTAAGGATTGCTTAGGTGGTGGGGGTGTCAGTCAAATGGCCTTGGTCCTAGTAAGCCCCAGCTCCCCGGCCACCATAGGGGTGTTGTCTGAATTGTCCCCGACTGCCCCGTGTTGATGGAGCCTTCATCTGGTTATTGGATGATCCCCAGCCACCACCAGTCTCGCCTATTTTAAAAAATATGTTCTTTTGATATACAACTATATGTAGTATATTGTATCACAATTGTAAACAATCTACAAAATCAAAAACATTTTGATAAAAAAATATGGGAGTTTATATATTTCTTCATCCTAAAATAAATATTTATACATGGTACATAGTTTCAGCTCAAGATCAACAGAAACGTATTCAGGAAAATACGAGATTTGTTATCATGTTACAGTCTTCAATAATACAAACAGAAAATTCAAGCTTTAACATTTTCCATCCGGAGGTACATTATTGCCATATTAAAGAATAATGTGGAGTGGAATTCAATGAAAATAAATGTTTGAAAGATATCTTAAAATGACATGACTGAACCATTCTGATATATTAGAAATGTTTCAACAACTGGAGACTGACAAAGACACTTTAAGTCATGGTCAGCACTATGGTCTTGATTTTCTCTAGCCCGTACTGTTGGATGTGAACAAAGCCGGTCACTAGTATAACACTAGATCAAAGCAGTGTCAGACAGACATCAACGTCCACACATCCTTCAGACAGGCATATTATAATTGGCACATTCAATCAATGCATAAAACAAAGGGAAAGGGAATATGATGAACAAAAGCCTGGTATTTTATACAGGAAGGTGGAGTGTTGCTTGATACTTAATTAAGATAGTAAAATATTGGACAATCTTAGGAGGCAGGGTTGTAAAAATCCACTAACCCGACCCTACCAGATTTTCAGCTTGGGCTAGTGAAATTACGGCCGGGGCATGCTATTTTTTAATATGTCATAACTAACAAAAATGTTTCTGTTCTACTTTATCATCATGAGGAACCAATTAACATTTTAAACTTGTGATTCCTGGTAATTTTCACTACAACATCTATCAGAACACATGGAGTCAATCATGTCATATTGATCATGATGCAAAACATTCTGTTGCCTTTCGACATGTGTGTTGTGTGATAGTAGGCACAAGTTCACAACTGAAATAGCCTTGAAAGTCTTTACTAACCACCAAAATCGCCCTCTTTGTTGCAAAAAATCCTCTTTCCTATGACTCGTTAGTCGTATGTGAAGTACAGAAAATAAAGTAAATCTCTCCAAAAGTCGGCAAGTCTGCCATGTTTTTTTTCTAATGCTTTCTAATACTTAAACCAGTAGCCGCACTGATTTTCAGGAAGAGTAAAAAAAAACTTCTTTGGTTTAAGTTTCAACAACTTTCATGGCGTTCATTTATCAAATAGTAACATATAATTATTTTTTCATTTTTTCAAGGAACATATATCCATCTGTGAATGAGATATAGATTGTGTGATAATGTTTTCATCTTGATCCATTTTGCATTTGTTAGCTAGCAGAACTTTATTACGGGCTATTGGATACTTAGTGTCTACTTGCCCCGGGCTAGTATCCTGAACATTTTAAAATATGGGAGGTTGTATTTACATGGTACATAGTTTCAACTCAAGATCAACAGAAAGTTTTTCAGGAAAATAAGAGATTTTAATGTTTCGGTCTGAAATACTACAAACAGAAAATTCTAGTTTTAACACATTTCATTTGAAAAGTACATAATTGCCACAAGAATAATGTGGAGTGGAACTCAATAAAGCAAATGTTTGAAAGATATATAAATATTACATGACTGAACCATTCTGATATATTAGAAATGTTTCAACAACTGGAGACTGACAAAGACACTTTAAGTCATGGTCAGCACTATGGTCTTGATTTTCTCTAGCCCGTACTGTTGGATGTGAACAAAGCCGGTCACTAGTATAACACTAGATCAAAGCAGTGTCAGACAGACATCAACGTCCACACATCCTTCAGACAGGCATATTATAATTGGCACATTCAATCAATGCATAAAACAAAGGGAAAGGAAATATCATGAACAAAAGCCTGGTATTTTATACAGGAAAGTGGAGTGTTGCTTGATACTTAAGATAGTAAAATATTGGAACAAATCTTAGGAGGCAGGGTTGTAAAAATCCACTAACCCGACCCTACCAGATTTTCAGCTTGGGCTAGTGAATTACGGCCGGGGCTTGCTATTTTTTAAGATGTCATAACTAACAAAAATGTTTCTGTTCTGTTTTATTATCATGAGGAACCAATTAACATTTTAAACTTGTGATTCCTGGTAATTTTCACTACAACATCTATCAGAACACATGGAGTCAATCACGTTTGTATTGATGATGCAAGACATTCTGTTGCCTTTCGACATGTGTGTTGTGTGATAGTAGGCACAAGTTCACAACTGAAATAGCCTTGAAAGTCTATACTAACCACCAAAATCGCCCTCTTTGTTGCAAATAATCCTCTTTTCTATGACTAATTAGTTATATGTGAAGTACAGAAAATAAAGTAAATCTCTCCAAAAGTCGGCAAGTCCGCCATGTTTTTTTTATGCTTTCTAAGACAGAAACCAGTAGCCGCACTGATTTTCAGATGTAAAAAAATAATTGGTTTAAGTTTCAACAACTTTCAAGGCATTCAGTTATCAAATAGTATTTATATAAAAAAAATATCTTTTTTTAAGGAACATATATCCATCTGTGAATGACATAGATTGTGTGACAATGCTTTCATCTCGATCCATTTTGTATTTGTTGGCTATATATATATAGCTAGCAGAACTTTATTATGGGCTAGTGGATTATTAGTGTCTACTAGCCCCGGGCTAGTATCCTGAACATACATGGTACATAGTTTCAACAGAGTTTTACAGGAAAGTACGAGATTTTGATATGTTTCAGTCTGAAATACTACAAACAGAAAATTCTAGTTTTAACACTTTTCATTTGAAAAGTACATAATTGCCACAAGAATAATGAGGAGTGGAACTCAATAAAGCAAATGTTTGAAAGATATATAAATATTACATGACTGAACCATTCTGATATTATAGAAATGTTTCAACAACTGGAGACTGACAAAGACACTTGTAAGTCATGGTCAGCACTATGGTCTTGACTTGCTCTAGCCCGTACCGTTGGATGTGAACAAAGCCGGTCACTAGTATAACACTAGATCAAAGCAGTGTCAGACAGACATCAACGTCCACACATCCTTCAGACAGGCATATTATAATTGGTATAATTTTATACAGAAAAGTGTTGCTGGATACTAGATTGTAAAACTGAATTAATCTACGAGTTAAATTTGTGATTTGTTCTATTGTATCTTTTCAATTTCCTATAAAATAAACGCGATTCAAAACCATTAAACTAAAATGTCAAAGTTGCCAATGAATAGTGCATCATTAAGTTGATATATTTATATCTTATGAAATGTTGAAAATAGGATCCAATCAAAATAGGGTTATTTATATCTACTTAGTGATAATTGGTTACATTAAAATTATGAAAAAAAAATCAATGACCAATACTGCCAAAGACAACTTAAGATTGGTGTTGTGGCCTTTGCTTGGCCATGCCCATACTGTTTGATGCTAACCAAGCTAGCCACTACAAGTTTACCATAACCCTGGACACCACATAATGCTTACAAATACTGTCGACACATCCTTCAGCCAGGTAAATGGGAAGAGGGAGTGAGAAGCTTGTATACCTGTTAAATCTATCACTACGTCCCTACTGTTAAATGTATCATGTCATACAGATGACTTGGTGCTAAATTTCTGTGTATTAGGTTGTTGTGCGGTGCAGTCAGATTCTAGTGGTTTGCAGCCGACACTTTTAAGTGTGAATTGCACGAGTCCCAAACACACCAACTCAGGCAACTGTACTAAATATCACTACATACCATATCCCGCTTGGTCATATGCTCCCTCTGCAAACGAGGAGAAGAAAATAGTCAAATAGTCAAATAATCCAGATGGCACACATAAAAGTGGCTCATATTTGCCACTGGAACCAGTGCTCTTTGCAGATGCCCAAAACTGTGAAACCCAATATGCCCAAATGTGTCACATAACATTTAACAACTTACCATATCCTGTTTGTTCATATCCGCCCTCTGCAATTAACAAAAAAGGAAACATTTGAGCAAAACATGTTAAACAACACAGAAAATTTGTATGCCTTTTAACTATTTTATTTTCTTGGCAAATGAAAACTTTTTCAGAAAGTTAGTTTACCAAGTAATAATATCCATTTGTTGGCAGCAAATGTTTTCATTTTGTTCATGATCCCAAATGCTGGTTCTATTTTTATTGTGGCACATTACCTTATGCAATAATATCAACACTGAAATATATATGCTCCTCACTGTACTATGGTATACTTTAATTACAAAATGACAAGAATCCTAAACACATTATCTATTAGAATCCTAAACGCATTATCTATTTTTAAGCTTTTACCAATCAGAATCCAACGCTATTCTTTTGAAAATAACATCCCCATATTACCAGTTTGCAAGAGCATGAAGGTGTATCCCATAATATATTTTAATGATGACTTTAACATCAAGATAATACCATAATTTCAATCGTGTATTAATCATAAAACGAGGCCCAAGAGTCTCGATAGTCATTTTGGTTTTATTTGAACCTCAGGATGAGGACAAAACTCAAATAAAGTTTCCTAGGATTCTGATTACAGGGGGCATACCATAAAACATCACTCTGTGCATCATAATTATGGTTTAGTAGCTGACAAGTGACCTAAAAGCAGGTCAAGGTCATCACATTCGGAAAACTAAATTCTACTTTATACAACCAAGATACAAGAAATGTCTCAACCTCAGACCTCATGGTACTCAAGAAGTTAAAAATGTGTAAATTGAAGGCAGACAATCCATCATAGCATTAGCTCCCCATGGCCTATTTCAAGATGACCTTAAAATTGTTTGAATGTTGGTAATTTAGAAATGATATTGCACTTACCATATCCTGTTTCTTCATATCCACCAGCTGCACTGGATCCATGTCCGTAGTCAAAATACTGAGTATCCCTAAAGCGATGAAATTACATTTGTAGAGTCAGTCAAATATTTAACACAAAATGCATCAGACAGATTGGAAAATGTTGTCATATATGCTACAAATATAGCTATATTACAAATGTATATATTCTCTTAAAGTGAATCTGCATGCACTGTCGCTAATATTTGCTTATATTCTTCAAGTGATTAACATATTATCCCTTTGAGGCATTTCTTCACAATGAATACATACCCGCCTCCATAGCCTGCATCGTAAGTTTCCCTTGCGTATGGATCAGAGTATTCTTCATAGCCCTACAAAAACAAAATTGAACATGTATATTCTAAACTTGATGATGCCAATTAATTTCTATATAAAACTTAAGTAATAATTTGTTTTGATAAAACCAGGTTTCTTTCATTTCAATTTCACACAACGGTTTTGGCTTAATTGCAACAGACCTGGTTTGAGTAGTCGTTGTAGCTTGTGTTTTGTGCAGGTGGTGGAGCTGGCCTTCCCCTTCCTGATGGGGCACCACGTGGGGTTCCTCTGGCAGCACCAATTGTAGAACCACCTCTTGGAGCACCCCTGAAGCATTCACAATTCATTCATGTTGTTTAATCCACAGTCAATTATTAGACATATATTCAGTTATAAATAAAAACAGATACTAAACATTCTATCAAGTTTCATTTTCTGCTTCCTGACCACCATTGTTTACATTAAGTTAGTTTTAGTCGGTGGTACAGGGTTCCTTTGGCGTAAACACCTATCTGTCCTTTACCTGTTAGGCACTACCCGGCCTGGAGGTGCAGCCCGCCCAACTCCTCCTCCAGTGGGTCCTCCACCAAGGATACCGCCACGTCCTGCCCCTCGGGGGCCTCCACGCCCCCTTCCACGACCGCCACCAACACCTCCTGGGGTCGGCTTCTCGCCGTTCAGGAACATCATCTCCTCCATCTGCTGCTGCGAGATTTCATCATTGTAATCCTGCAATACAAAAATTTAGAATTAATCAAGACATCTTTAATCCTATTTTTCCTTTGGAGGTACTTTTCAAACGAAAAATACTAAATGCTTCTCAATCTGATTATTTACAAGCTGCATGCGTTTCTTTTGTTACACACCAGTTTTTTTCCAATGCAGATAGGCTATTGCAGCAAGTTAAATTGATAAACATGAATGAGATAAAGGATTCCTACAAAGTGAAAGTTTACAAATACCAATTAGACTGCAAACATCAAGGTAGAATAAAAAACACTTACTGAAGGTTCTACCATCATAACTTGGTCTTGTACATGAGGTTAAATTGAAAATTTCTATTACTCTTGTATATATTTTTTTTATTGGAGAGCCATACTTGGCTTTGTGATAGTTTAGTATTTTGACTGTCATTGTATACTTACTGGTGTCAAGAATTTCTGCACCTCCGACACTGCATGCGATAGTCTGGCATAACAGTCAGATGCTTCACTGTACACTTCTATGAGAAGATGAAGATCTTCGTTCAAATGTGCGTACTTTCCACCTTCCTTCTTCATTTCTTCTTCCTACCATTTCAATGATTAAATTACAGAGATTTATTGAAGAGATGCAAAGTCAGGTGAAAACACAGGTTCTTGTATGAATAGCAGAAACAAATTGTCAAGACATATCCCTCTGGTAAATTTAATGACAACTAAAATTCTGGAGTCACAAACGTTTTTAATTAGGGCATTTCTTTTTCTATAATGTTATCCACTGGTGATGCATCAAATTTGATTTTCATTGCTATAAATATATGATGGATACTTTTATTTTTGTGTGTTTCTTAACCCTTAGGCTGCTACATTGATTTCTATGTAAAGGGACGCCACTGCTGAATTAATTATTGAAATATAAATTAATTTACTGAATTTTTCAAATGTGCATAACTTGAAAAATATTTGTTACATGTGAATAAAAGTTACAGGAAAATTGTTCGTTATTGTCTATAGTTTATATTAACGTTTTCGATTCTAAAGTTGCTTCAGTATTTACCTGTACAGGAGGTAATAAAGGTAAGAAAAGGTGAAACTTTTAATTAATCGGATTTAAGCACCAGAAAGATCATTTTAAAATTGTTTTTGTCAGCAAATGTGATTGGAAAATGATAACAGAGATTATAAACTTCATTTATGACATAAGACGCTGTACAATTACACGGAGATTCTCAGGTAAAAAGGTCAGGTATTTCATCAAGAATTGCATGCGATTTGCTACAGGTTTCAGGTCGTCATTCAATATATTTATTGTCACGGTCAGCATATAGATATATCTTAGCTACGGTCTAGTTTATGATTAAATCATCGATAAATAGTTTGAAGAAATCAATCGGCTCAAAACGTATCAATGTCCAATTCGGCCTCACCTGCAGACGACATGTGCACCTCGGTCCGCCGATATTTTCATGTTTGCCGTTCATTGGAAAGTTACATATTATGTTACACCGAAGTATTTCCACATCAACCATGTCAAACCCTTTAAAACCTTTATTATCATCGTAGGTGACGCTGGAGAATAAATGTTTACCATCATATTCATCACTTCAATCTACACGTCCGCCATTTTTATGACGTTTTTTCCAATTTGAAATTCTCTCGCACACTTTTGATTATTACTAGGGTACATTGACGGGAATATCGAAAGTAATGACAAAACAACCAATCAGAGCCCTCTACTATACGCTTAGCACTGACGGCACGACTTTTCGAAACCACTATTGTGGCGCGTAGCAGCCTAAGGGTTAAAAGATATTTCATGCGGAATGTGACAAAATCTTTTTATAAGCTGAACTATGTATATTAATACTTTAGCCGACTATTTAGAAACTTGAACAGACCAGAAACTTTTATTTTTTTTAAAATATATTTGGGCCTTCTTTTGATTCTCTACGAATTTCTTATCAATTATAACTTTAATTTGATCATTGACTACAAATGTAGACCTCTACTTAATTATGCCATCCAAACTTATTCCCATCACCACTTTATTTTACCACATTAAGTGTTCAATAACTCAGTCTTGACAAGCAGGTAGACTGCATTAACATGTACCTTGTTTTTGTCCCTCATGGAGCCCTTCCCCAAAATTGACATCTTGGTGCCAGTCTCCTCCTGTAATCGCTTCAGTGACATTCCTTTGGGTCCAAGAAGCTTCCCCACAAAGTTGAACTAGAGACAAAATTCAACAAAACAATAATTAATTTTGCAGTGATGCACTTGTAAATAATAAAATGAAAGAGTTAAAAGAGGCCACCCTTCTTCCTTGTTTTTGAGTAGAAAAATTAACTCTTTTTTTTTCTCCATTTTTCAGTCAACTTGACAAATTCGGAGAGCTTCAAGATAAATCTAATATATCATCCAATCAAAAGACAAATTTGCAGTTTTTGCTGATATTTTTGAACAATTCAAAGTGACCATCTTTTCTTCAAAATAATCACAAGTACAAAAATATTGGTCATATGATAATATGTAGAGCATCATAATTTCTGCACATTAACCTTATTTTCTATGCGCAACATATAACGCTCTCATTTTTAAGAAACAAACTATAGTTTTACATTTTCAGTTGAATTTTAAACAATGGGTGGCAATAATAAATGATTTTTTTACCATTTCATCATCAAACACGGTTTTAAAATTTGGGTCAACCAGATATCTGACAACCATGTTACAAGTGAAAACATAAATTTGGTAAATGCTCCAAATCTTATTGAATTGATTAAACAATGGTCCATTTTTGATACTTAAGATGCAATGAATATCCCGACAGCTCCGTAAAGTGGTATTACCTTGGGGAAATCTTTGACAGGAATCTTCACTTTTAATGCCACGCCTTGAGGTCTTGAATGATGTGCTTCCACAGTTGGGACCTGTTTCTTGGCATTTCCTTGTTCAACACGTTTGATCTCTATAAAGGGAACACAGCTATTAATCAATAATTTACAGCAGCACGTCCCTTCATGAATAAAAATAAAATGCAGCAATATTTCATTTGAAATTGGGGGAAAAAATCATTTTTGAGAAAGCAATCTCTTGAAAGACCAGTCTATTTTCACTCGTAAGACTAGGCAAAACGAATCATTGTTAGGCAAAATATGTCGGTGTCATTTACAACATGTAGCAGATACAAACGTCAAAATAATTCTAACATTTTTAACGACACATTTCTGTTCTTTTGACCCTAGCGACATCACCGTATTATAATGTGTCAAAAACAGACAGACACCGATGCTTGCCACATGATGTTGGTCAATGTCAGATCAGATGACAAGAAGTAAATAAGTTGCAGTGATTAATCTACAATTCATTTTTATGAGTCCTTTTCAACTGTATTGCTATAAACAGCGAGTCCCACAATCTTAATTTAAGTATTTCCAGAAATTCTGCGAGGCGCATGTAGATTTATCACTGTTTTAAGTTGCATTGTTGAATAAAGGAAGCCATTGTCAGCTGTATTTCTAGGGGAAACTAAAGACTAAATATTACTGATGAACAAAGTAGGTTAATTATGCTCAAATGGGTTTATTGAGCAATTTTCATCTTAAGGGCTCAGAAACTTGTCACTTGGTGCTAATATAGGGGAGACAACCCACACCTCGGCATGACTAGGGCCGTTTTCGTTAAACCGGTCGGGCACAGTTGTTCGTTTATTAAATAGGGTCGGACCTAGCAATCTCATACTGCTTTCAGGCGACCCTTGACAAAGCATTGCAAGGCCTGCATAAACATTTACAGGTCCGTCAGAATGTATACCCGAAATTGTTACATTTATAAACGGTCAAACCGATTGTTTCACATAAACGATTAGACCCTAGAATTCGTACAATATCTCGACAAATTTGAGGATACATGTTCATAGTTCATTTAACACAATACGCTCACTTAAATTTCTTGTGGCTATCCCCGCAGTAATCATGCNGGGGGGGGTAGTGAAAAAATATGTTCAATGTACAGGCAACTAAGCCTATGAACATCGATATTTTGCAAAATTAATATTGAACCTGCGCTATCAACATTCATGATATTAACATGAGACGAATACGTTAATTGTGAGTTCGTTTAATGTTCTTCATTTCCGCCGGCTTCCATGCTTCTGTCATGGCGTCCGCGGACAAAAGAAAAAGCTCGTGGTCGACATTGAAACCATTACTTACCATCGTTTATGAGTCTTGCTGAATGTGATAATGCACCAGTGTCGAGTTGCGTCACTTCGGTTTTGAGTTCTTCTAAATATTTTACACTAGCCGGCCCCAAACTGGCTGGTTGTTGCTGTTGCTGCATGGCCATTGGGTTCATGCGTTGTTCCCGTTTGAATTCCATGATCAAGGTGGTAGCGTCTTTAACAAGCACCTTGTGAACTACTTCCGCGACAGAATATAGTACACTGTCTGTACCAAAATAACACCTATATCAAAGCATGGTTGAAGAAGTTCAGATACAGTTAAGCTTTCTACTGTTTGTTTAAGTTTTTATTATTGAAAAAGAACAAATAAATTCCAACTATTGTTTATGCGGAAGAATAAATTATGTAAATTTGACCGGATTACAATGAATTTATTGTAGACCAAGTGCGAAGGGCAGACGACTCCGTGAAGACTTTCTCTTTCCAAATGCAAGTTGTCGTTCCTTTCACTTGCAAAACTATACAGTCGGTTGATTTTTCCTTCTATAGAATAGTCATAATATAGCTATAAAACATTAATTCTATCCTTATTCTGATAATCCCCCACCCACCCCACTCACACACCAAAAATATCGCTGCCATAAGCATAGACGTCTAAGGTAGAGAAGGACACTAGAGGCAAACAAATCTAGTCAATGCTTTTTTTGCCCTTTTTAAGTCATCAAGGTACCCGCCAAAGAATGCATATATTTTTTTTTGAATTTATCCGAGAACAATATATGATAAATGAATATTTTGAAATATTTTAGACAGAATATTTAAAAAGAAAAATCTTTTTTTTTTCAAAATGTCTACCCTTTTTTGCAATATGCATGCAACTGACTTAGGTAAAATTTCGCAAAAAAAAAATGATTGTAAAGTTGAATAGAAAAAAAATGTGTCAATGTATTCTTTTTTAAATTGGTATATAAAATAACTTATATCCATGCTACAAATCATAAAAAAAGTAAAGTTATGTTTCCAGGGAAAACAAAAAGTTAGGGGGTTAGAACGACACCCTGTCAAACACTTTTTTATGCAGATTTCATGAAAATGTCCAAATTTTAACCTTTTTTATAACTCTTTTAACTTAAGGTGCGATTGATTCCTAAATTTGCATTGGTTTTGCAGCAGCCATGGTTTTGTAATATTATTTAATCCTTTCATGTAACCTTCCTTAGGTTTATTCAAGAAGTTGGCATTTGACCTCAAAGCGAAATCATCATTTCATCGGTTGATCAATATAGTCTCATCTTTCACAATAATCAGACATAAGACTTGGAAAGGATATATATTTTATTTCAATCAACAATAATTATTAAAAACAATATTTATTTGACCTTGGTTTTTGACCTCATGTTAAAAGGATTGTCCAATCAATTTATATATCATTACAGTGTATTGAGTGTTTGGTCATGTGATACCTGTCCGTCTCTTTCTTAACTAGGCCTATATATGAATTTATCTACAATTACGGAATTGATTTCCTTGTTTTCATTGACTTTTTTCTTATTTAAATCTTCTTCTACGGAATTTTAGATGGATGGTAATAGGCACATTTCATTTGTGAACGAGTTCCTCATCACATAACTTTTAACTTTAAAAAAAAATCGAAACCCGTGTCTGATATTTATTCAGAACAAAAAACATTTCGTGCTGTGAATGCAAATAATAATTTTCAATATTACAAAGTATATAGTGTACCTACATAATATTGGATCATTAATAACATCGTCTTGATCGGACATTTCATTGGCTAATTATGAAACAAACCCAAGTCCACCCCACTTTTTTTTTTTTTTTAGACACACACGTCTAATACAGTTTTGTCCCCAATTCCTACATATCGTGGCCAAAAACGACACACCTATTCTTTGACTTGATATCTCATCAGTCAAAATTTCAAAATCTACTTTTTCTTGAGTGAAATTTACTCTTTCAAAGGAGCAAGGCCAATCGATTCAAGAGTATGCCTGTATTTTAGTTTATCATACGATTAGGGAAGGAATCGGGACTGATATGCGTATTTCCTCACTTTTAAGTTACTTTAATTTGTGTAAAACGATCACCTGCTCTGGAAAAAGAAATCAAAATTCCATATTAATTTTAATAGGATTTAATAGGATATTAGTGGACGCAGACATTGCTACCCTACCTCTATATCCGCATCAATAGAAGTTGAAATACAATGTGGTAAACATAAAATAAGCCTATACATAAAACGCTTTCCAGAATTTGTCCAAGGTTTTCTCAAAGTCAAATACGTTACGAGATGAAATAACATCTTGTGGGAGACTGTTCCAGATATCAATTATTCTTTTGAGTAAAGTTATGTTTTCTAACATTTAAATGACAATGTTGTTTAAGGATTTTTTTACTGTGTCCACGAGTTTTTCCTTGAGCGGAGATATGATTAGAAAGATAAGATCCCTAATGGGTCCGTTTACATCTGCCAGTAAATATCACGTAAAACGATAAAACTGGCACGTGTACAACAGTTCTTTTATCACGTCATCTCTCTCTTTGAGCATATCATACGATGTATGTCGATTAAAACGGCATATCAAAATAAATTTCTAGTATATTCTGAATGTCGCAATAATGGCGATGCAAGTGTTGCAACCGGCGCAGATCAGGCGCGTAGCTACCATGTAAGCCAATAAGCCCGGGCTTGCACATGATTTTGACAAGTAAAGGTTTTCATGACATTATTTTTTCTTGCTGATACTATAAAGTGGAGTTTAAGTTTTGAATATATAGTATACATATGTAATTCCTCAGATATGATACAGTGTTAATAGTTAGTACAAAAATGTATGAAGTTTAGAAATGTCCATTGCATTAATGGACAGTTCCAGGCGGAACTAAACTGCTCGATTGAGTAAATTGAGAAACTCACGCCTGGCGCAAACGACTCCGAGTATGGCACAGTGGACACAGACAATCAATGTGTTTGTTTTTATGAAAATATCAATTTGGGGCACGTTCGGCCCCTTTTGCCGGGGCACATTCGGCCACCCCGAATGCAACTGTTATTGTGCCAAGTGACGTCACTATTGATAACGTCACCCAATTGACCACAAAAATAATATTTTTACGTCGCAAAAATTAAGTATTTTTTTCTTTGTATTCACTGATTTGTTCTGGACTTATTTTCCAACAAAATTTTCATGGGGGAGACCCCCCAGACCCCCCTTACGGGAGGGGGAAGACCCACTCCCGTACCCTCCCCCTCCTCGCGCTTCGTGGGGGGGGGGGGGGGGGGGGGGGGCTGCCTTCGGCAACCCCATGTCGGGGCTTACACATGGTAAAGGGGCTAGCTACGCGCCTGCAGATGATCATCATATATAACCCATTCATAAACTTGAATCTCCGCGCAGGCTTGTTAGAGTCGGCAGCTTCAATCGGCGTAGTCTCTCGCTGTAGCTATAATAGTCTTAAATCCGGGGAGTAATTTTGTTGATCAATAAGGTCGAACCAGCGCTATCAAAATATTTGTGAACATTTTTTCGTCCAAATATACAAATGATCTCCTTGTGACACCTACGATGTGTTAGCTTTATTTATTGCTTGTTGGATATGTCAAGATCAAGTCTTGGGTCTACTACAATCCCTAAATATTTCTCCGATACAATGTTTTCCAATGCTATAATTTCTCCTCCATTTATCGTGGTTTTCTCTTTTTATGTTTTGTTAACACTGTCATAACTTTACACGTTTTAGGATGGAAACTTCATTAATAGCCACATATCCGACCATTTCATCAAATTGCAGAGATCATCTTAGAGTAAGCTTTCATCGGTATCATCAGATATTGTTCAGTACAAATCAGTGTCATCAGCAAATCGGTAGGTCGTTAATGTATAGGACGAAAAGTATTGGACCTAGCACACTTCCTTGAGGTATTCCACTACAATGACTGTGTGTTCTGCTGACGATGTCCCATTTACAATCACTCTCTGTTTCCGATTACTCAAAAAACTTTCTATCCAACATATTATCTGTGTACTAAATCCATAACTTCGGGGTTTATTTAACAGACGTCTGTGTGGAACTTTGTTGGACGCCTTCATCAAGTCCATGTAAACTACATCCAATTCTCTACCATTATGTCAAATTTTAGTCCAGTCATCCATGATTTAAAGCAATTGAAGCACTGTTGACCTCCCAGATAAAAAAATAATATACATGTTGTATATTTAGCAGTGACTGATTTAACAAAAATCCAGCAATTTGCAAAATTTATAGCATTCGTATTAAAGGGACTTTTACCTTATCAGAGATAATTTTAAAGATCATTTGGCTTATAACTCATATTGGGAATTGTATGTCCTATTTCGTTAGATTTATATTATCAAGTGCGCTATGTTTATTTTTTATTTCAATTAAAAAAAGGATCAAGCTTTGTCCAGATCAGTTCATGTAAATGGTATCATGTTTTATTAGTACTTTCAACAAGAAAAAAATGGAATGACGATGTAAGTCCTGGAGTCCAGATTTCCCACAAAGCAGAAATAAAGGGCACAGGGACATTATAATGTTACAGCTATATATTTGAACCTAAACCGAGGTGTTCAGGGTAATTATCCTCATTTACCGAAAATTGATGTAAACCCCCCCCCCCCCCCCCCCCCAAACGCGTAAAATTACTCTGAACACCTTAGTTTAGGTCCAAATATAACTGTAACAAATTCTCAAGTCCCTGCAATATAGGACAAATGGAAATCTAACTAATGTCATTGGTTGAATTTATTGCTTTTTTTTACCATCATGAGGGGGACAGTTTTTTTTACAAAAATATGCCTTAATTGTCGTATTGAATCATTTAGCCTTTATAAGATATGTCTGTTTCCATTTGATCAGGAAAATGTTTGCAGGACGATATGTTGGTTTCCCTCTACGTTTTATAGAGATGACACGGTACCCGGAGAGGTAACATCCGTGTTAACCTGAAAATCCTGAATTACTCATAAAATTACGGCAACCTGGTAGCCCAGAGGTGAAGGCGTATGTTAAGCCGATAGATGTGACCTGGCCAACGCTGTCTATTGGTCATAGATAAAGCCCGACCTGGGGTAAACTCAGGTTGACCCGACACGGTGACCTTAGACAGAGACGTATAATACATCTCTATACGTCTCTGCCTTAGATAAATAGGATTATCGCCGGGACATAGTCGAACCACGGAATTAGATTAGTTATCCAAGTCCGTGGTCGAACATAATCTGCAGTTATTCAATACTGAACCTAACGATATATAATGTGCACGTAATGGTTGCTTTTTAGTTATGGAATGTATAAATTGAGCCTCGCGATCATAAGCATACTATTTTTTTTAACATTATTTAATCTAGAGACTAAAACACGGGTTTATATGTCTCTAGTAGCCAAACCATGGAATTCTCGAAGTAGCGACTTAACCTATATGGAACTCAATACAATATCTTCTTACTCTTTAAATTATTAAAATTTAAGTTTTAAAAGCTTTGCTCTCGATACTTCCCAAGTGCTTCCCACTGAAAAGCACTGCTGAAGCTAAGGAAACTTTCCTTAAATCCACCTCCTTAAATTACCTTAGCTGTTAATAGGAGGTTAAACAAACATAAACCAAACCAAATCCTTAAATCCACGTCCTTAAATTACCTTAGCTGTTAATAGGAGGTTAAACAAACTTAAACCAAACCAAATCCTTAAATCCACGTCCTTAAATTACCTTAGCTGTTAATAGGAGGTTAAACAAACTTAAACCAAACCAAATCCTTAAATCCACGTCCTTAAATTACCTTAGCTGTTAATAGGAGGTTAAACAAACTTAAACCAAACCAAATCCTTAAATCCACGTCCTTAAATTACCTTAGCTGTTAATAGGAGGTTAAACAAACTTAAACCAAACCAAATCCTTAAATCCACGTCCTTAAATTACCTTAGCTGTTAATAGGAGGTTAAACAAACTTAAACCAAACCAAATCCTTAAATCCACGTCCTTAAATTACCTTAGCTGTTAATAGGAGGTTAAACAAACTTAACCCAAACCAAATCCTTAAATCCACGTCCTTAAATTACCTTAGCTGTTAATAGGAGGTTAAACAAACTTAAACCAAACCAAATCCTTAAATCCACGTCCTTAAATTACCTTAGCTGTTAATAGGAGGTTAAACAAACTTAAACCAAACCAAATCCTTAAATCCACGTCCTTAAATTACCTTAGCTGTTAATAGGAGGTTAAACAAACTTAAACCAAACCAAATCCTTAAATCCACGTCCTTAAATTACCTTAGCTGTTAATAGGAGGTTAAACAAACTTAAACCAAACCAAATCCTTAAATCCACGTCCTTAAATTACCTTAGCTGTTAATAGGAGGTTAAACAAACTTAAACCAAACCAAATCCTTAAATCCACGTCCTTAAATTACCTTAGCTGTTAATAGGAGGTTAAACAAACTTAAACCAAACCAAATCCTTAAATCCACGTCCTTAAATTACCTTAGCTGTTAATAGGAGGTTAAACAAACTTAAACCAAACCAAATCCTTAAATCCACGTCCTTAAATTACCTTAGCTGTTAATAGGAGGTTAAACAAACTTAAACCAAACCAAATCCTTAAATCCACGTCCTTAAATTACCTTAGCTGTTAATAGGAGGTTAAACAAACTTAAACCAAACCAAATCCTTAAATCCACGTCCTTAAATTACCTTAGCTGTTAATAGGAGGTTAAACAAACTTAAACCAAACCAAATCCTTAAATCCACGTCCTTAAATTACCTTAGCTGTTAATAGGAGGTTAAACAAACTTAAACCAAACCAAATCCTTAAATCCACGTCCTTAAATTACCTTAGCTGTTAATAGGAGGTTAAACAAACTTAAACCAAACCAAATCCTTAAATCCACGTCCTTAAATTACCTTAGCTGTTAATAGGAGGTTAAACAAACTTAAACCAAACCAAATCCTTAAATCCACGTCCTTAAATTACCTTAGCTGTTAATAGGAGGTTAAACAAACTTAAACCAAACCAAATCCTTAAATCCACGTCCTTAAATTACCTTAGCTGTTAATAGGAGGTTAAACAAACTTAAACCAAACCAAATCCTTAAATCCACGTCCTTAAATTACCTTAGCTGTTAATAGGAGGTTAAACAAACTTAAACCAAACCAAATCCTTAAATCCACGTCCTTAAATTACCTTAGCTGTTAATAGGAGGTTAAACAAACTTAAACCAAACCAAATCCTTAAATCCACGTCCTTAAATTACCTTAGCTGTTAATAGGAGGTTAAACAAACTTAAACTAAACCAAATCCTTAAATCCACGTCCTTAAATTACCTTAGCTGTTAATAGGAGGTTAAACAAACTTAAACCAAACCAAATCCTTAAATCCACGTCCTTAAATTACCTTAGCTGTTAATAGGAGGTTAAACAAACTTAAACCAAACCAAATCCTTAAATCCACGTCCTTAAATTACCTTAGCTGTTAATAGGAGGTTAAACAAACTTAAACCAAACCAAATCCTTAAATCCACGTCCTTAAATTACCTTAGCTGTTAATAGGAGGTTAAACAAACTTAAACCAAACCAAATCCTTAAATCCACGTCCTTAAATTACCTTAGCTGTTAATAGGAGGTTAAACAAACTTAAACCAAACCAAATCCTTAAATCCACGTCCTTAAATTACCTTAGCTGTTAATAGGAGGTTAAACAAACTTAAACTAAACCAAATCCTTAAATCCACGTCCTTAAATTACCTTAGCTGTTAATAGGAGGTTAAACAAACTTAAACCAAACCAAATCCTTAAATCCACGTCCTTAAATTACCTTAGCTGTTAATAGGAGGTTAAACAAACTTAAACCAAACCAAATCCTTAAATCCACGTCCTTAAATTACCTTAGCTGTTAATAGGAGGTTAAACAAACTTAAACCAAACCAAATCCTTAAATCCACGTCCTTAAATTACCTTAGCTGTTAATAGGAGGTTAAAAAAACTTAAACCAAACCAAATCCTTAAATCCATGTCCTTAAATTACCTTAGCTGTTAATGGGAGGTTAAACAAACTTAAAGCAAATCAAATCTTTAAATCCACGTCCTTAAATTACCTTAGCTGTTAATAGGAGGTTAAACAAACTTAAAGCAAATCTAATCTTTAAATCCACGTCCTTAAATTCCCTTAGCTGTTAATAGGAGGTTAAACAAACTTAAAGCAGACCAAATCCTTAAATCCACGTCCTTAAATTACCTTAGCTGTTAATGGGAGGTTAAACAAACTTAAAGCAAACCAAATCTTTAAATCCACGTCCTTAAATTACCTTAGCTGTTAATAGGAGGTTAAACAAACTTAAACCAAAACAAATCCTTAAATCCAGCAAAGGTTTCCTTAGCCCGAATATCCTCTGGCCCGGACACCAGACTAAGACGTTTTGACAGATATATGTCTGGTGTGGGTTCCTCTGGCCCGGACACCAGACTAAGATGTTTTGACAGATAGGTGTCTGGTGTGGGTTCCTCTGGCCCGGACACCTGACTAAGACGTTTTGACAGATAGGTGTCTGGTGTGGGTTCCTCTGGCCCGAACACCAGACTAAGACGTTTTGACAGATAGATGTCTGGTGTGGGTTCCTCTGGCCCGGACACCTGACTAAGACGTTTTGACAGATAGGTGTCTGGTGTGGGATCCTCTGGCCCGGACACCAGACTAAGACGTTTTGACAGATAGGTGTCTGGTGTGGGACTTGGCCTTTGGCTAGCTATATACACCGTATATAGGTGAACTGATGATAAATATTTCAGTAAAATTTTACTGTGAGATTATGAATCAGACCAATTTAGGATCTTGAAATATGCAAAGTGTATTTCAACATCCAATTTCAATACATTTCCGTCTGCTATTAAATCCAGTGTACCATGAAGTAATAAATAAAGACAAAGAAACAGTAGATAAATTTGCATTTTTTAATTCTCTTCTAGCAAATCTGCAACAAACAGAAAATTAAAAGATGCACAATTTGCTTTTAAAATATGAATCGAAAAAAAAATTAAAAAAAAGGGGGCCAGTTAACAATTCTGGCAGGTGTTTCCCCTGTTTGTACAGCTTAGCTACTATCGTAGATACACAGGAGGGCGGTCACATGGTGTTCGTGACCCTAGGTTAGGGATCTTGAGAAGTCACATGATGTCAGAGTGACCTTGACCAGTCTTGTAGGGGTCAGTGACCTGAACTGGTCAGCTTCAATGTTTAAGTGACCCTGACTTGTCACCTTCAATTACTTTGAACAGAGAAAATACTACACGACTTATGCCTTTGAATCAAATTGACGGTTCCAATGACAGTACTTCGTCTGTCTATCAACACTAATGCTGGGCGAGGGTTCCACATTAAGATTTAGGTCCAAAGATGAAACATGTACAAATATAGACATGACTAGTGCTGGAGATACACGTATCACATTATACACTTGAGATATATGCATCACATTATACACTTGAGATATATGTATCACATTATACAAACAATGTAAAATAATGCCACTCTACCTCCTCTTAATAATATCAATGGGATTAATGACGCATTTCATTTTTTCTTAATGAGATGAAATTTCTTGAATATCATACTTAAATCCATATCTATGTAGTTATATGATATAATACTGAATAGTATTAGATTACAAACTTATAAGATATACAGCACCTTTTAAGTATTGGCTTGTGATGTGTAGAATGGCTTAAAAATGTTTATCTTTTGAATGGTTGTAAATGGTTGTAAAGATAATCTTTGGTTACAACTCCTACAATCCACATCAGTGAGTTAATCTATTCATCCACAAGGGCCTCTATCAATTTTTCTCTAGAATACATGTAGTATTTGTGAACCGCTTTGAGACAACCTACAAACTAGGTTGTGATAAAGCGGTATATAAGAACCTCGACTTATTATTATATTATTAGTAATGTAGTAGTTTTTGTGGCAGAAAATCACAAAAAAAGTCATGTTTTTAAAATAAATTGATTAATCATATCAAAGTGGTGTAATATTGACAGATGCATCATGGTCCCTGTTTAAGCAGGAAAATGAGCGATGTACAAGAGGCAGCTATGGAGTCTGTCTTCTCATTCTAATTCATGACTGATGATTAAGTTTGGTCTTGAAAGCAAAAGAGCAGTATCAAATATACATGTTATATAAATTTGGTTACAAAAGGTCAAAAACTTGTATAAAGCCTCCCTGTACAATGACTAGTAATGTCTGATGATTCTATCTGACTTGGATTACCCTGGACACCAGACTACAGTGTTAGGTTAAAATTCTCAACTCAAAGATCATGTGAAATCGTGTAGCATTTCCTCTAACTGTTTTAGATAGTAATCAGTCAATTCAAATAGAGCATTCCTTTCCGGTTGAATTTCTCCCTCTCACTGAACTATTTCAATCGTAATAAGAAAGATGACTGTTTCTCTAAACCTCTCTGTGATAGATATATGACAGTGAATTTGCCTAAAGCTTAATACATATACAAATAGCCAACTACCATTGTAGCAACACTAGAAAGAAAACGTATGGTGAAGAGATGTCAAACTGTGATCTCACAAACATATAAGGCTATGGAAAGCAGACAAGAGTCCAAACTTCTGGACAAAGTCATCATGGATAACACTTGACAACAGCGGTTGTAGCATCTTAACACGACCGGTGCTGATATTGGTCCATGACGAGCTAGATGTCCAGATTACCCACGATGAAGCCTTCAGCAGGGGATGATCCCAGGAAGTTGGCAGCCTCATACATTTGGTGGCCTGCTTTCATCTGCGGTACAGACTTGATGGGCAGACACTTCGCTTCACTGGCCTCCTGGTATATGGCCCTCCTGTAAACAAGAGTGGATATAGGAAATCAAAGAATGGAACCATAGCAATAGTTAACAGTAAATAAAAGTGGAGATCAGAGGTGAAGGAATTACACCATAGCAACACCTTAACAGTTACATTAAGGTGGCAATGGGAAGTTGAAGGGAACCATAGCAACTTCAAAAGTAGCATAAGGGTGGGGAGGAATGGTCAAGAAATGCTACCAAAGCAATGTTTCAAAAGAAACCTATTGGTGGAGATTGGAAGTCAAGGAATAATACCATAGCAGCATTTCATCAGTAACATTGAGGCAGTTATGTGAGGTCATCTATCTTCGTACTACATCTTAAAATCAGGAGTATCACATACCACAACTAGACCGTTTGTTGGGTATTACAGTGATATGTTACTAACCATTTCTTGACCGAGCAGACATAGAAGCGTTGAGGAGATGGCATGCCATTGAATCCCGAGGCTGCTGCAAGGGTGTAGGCTCCCATGTCGGAGAAGTATAGCCAATCCCCCACCTGAAGTTCTGGCAGTTTCACCTCCTCATGAATGCAGTCAAGACCGTCACAGGTGGGTCCCCATACACTGCTGGTGTAGGGCAGCTCGCACTCAACCTCCTATGAATCAACATCACTCAATATAGATGACAATTTATTACATGTGCATGTTATAAAACACAGAACTTTTATAATAAACTAAAATAATAAATACTTGTGTCATGCAAAATTTTGTTTCCCCAATACTACATAATAATGTGTACTGTTACATGCAAAAATACTCTTAAGCAATTAATCAATGGAATACTTTGTTTGTTGCAGAACAAATTTAACTTGCATCATTTCAAAATGTATAGCATTATGAATGAAGGCGAGACATTGTCAAATTACTTTTTAGATCTCAAATCCTTAACTGGGTGAGGGTTTGCAGTGGAGTGGGGTCTGTGGCACGATTGGTCTACAGACTATAGATTTGTAGTTTGTATAGGACTATTAGGTACATACATTGGGTACACAGGGAGAGGTCTATGTGGGTTTGCAGTAGCGTGGGGTCTGTAGCACGATTGGTCTACAGACTATAGATTTGTCGTTTGTATAGGAGGACTATAAGGTACATACATGGGGTACACAGGGTGAGGTCTATGTGGGTTTTCAGTAGCGTGGTGTCTGTGGCACGATTGGTCTACAGACTATAGATTTGTAGTTTGCATAGGAGGACTATAAGGTACATACATTGGGTACACAGGGTGAGGTCTATGTGGGTGTGCAGTAGAGTGGGGTCTGTGGCACGATTGGTCTATAGACTATAGATTTGTAGTTTGTATAGGACTATTAGGAACATACATTGGGTACACAGGGTGAGGTCTATGTGGGTTTGCAGCAGAGTGGGGTCTGTGGCACGATTGGTCTACAGACCATAGATTTGTAGTTTGTATAGGAGGACTATTAGGTACATACATTGGGTACACAGGGTGGGGTCTATGTGGGTTTGCAGTAGAGAGGGGGCTGTGGCACGATTGGTCTACAGACTATAGATTCGTAGTTTGTATAGGAGGACTATAAGGTACATACATTTGGTACACAGGGTGAGGTCTATGTGGGTTTGCAGCAGAGTGGGGTCTGTGGCACGATTGGTATACAGACTATAGATTTGTAGTTTGTATAGGAGGACTATAAGGTACATACATTGGGTACACAGGGTGAGGTCGATGTGGGTTTGCAGTAGAGTGGGGTCTGTGGCCCGATTGGTCTACAGACTATAGATTTGTAGTTTGCATAGGAGGACTATAAGGTACATACATTGGGTACACAGGGTGAGGTCGATGTGGGTTTGCAGTGGAGTGGGGTCTGTGGCACGATTGGTCTGCAGACTATAGATTTGTAGTTTGTATAGGACTATTAGGAACATACATTGGGTACACAGGGTGAGGTCTATGTGGGTTTGCAGGAGAGTGGGGTCTGTAGCACGATTGGTCTACAGACTATAGATTTGTCGTTTGTATAGGAGGACTATAAGGTACATACATTGGGTACACAGGGTGAGGGCTATGTGGGTTTGCAGTAGAGTGGGGTCTGTGGCCCGATTGGTCTACAGACTATAGATTTGTAGTTTGCATAGGAGGACTATAAGGTACATACATTGGGTACACAGGGTGGGGTCTATGTGGGTTTGCAGTAGAGAGGGGGCTGTGGCACGATTGGTCTACAGACTATAGAGTTGTAGTTTGTATAGGAGGACTATCAGGTACATACATTGGGTACACAGGCAGTGACAGTGGCATGGTCGTACAACAGACAGTTGAATGAGCCGTACACGCCGTCATTGACGTAATACATGATCGAGGGTTCCTCATCAGCTGTTGGGTAGTCCATAGGTTCGGCATCTGAAACATCAGCCATTTGTTATTTTAAACCCATATTTTTTTTCTTCAATCTGAAGCCATATTAATGATTGGGTCTTAACAAAATTATTTATATATTATAACCACAGTTTTGTTTTTTTACAGTCAAGAGTTTTTCTCATAGAGGTATATTTATAATCACAGTTTCCTCAAGGAGGTATATTTATAATCACAGTTTCCTCATGGAGGTATATTTATAATCACAGTTTCCTCGTGGTCGTACTTACTCTCTCCATGCTGGTCGCGGGCCACCACCCTCTTGGCAATGATGTTGACCGTAAGGCTGAATGCTGAGGCCACAAAGAATCGGCCGGGCTCAGCAATGATGTCCACTCCCTCCTCCTCTGGGAAGCATCTGTCCAGAGCACCATTCAGCACATCAGTGATCTGAAAGTACAACAAAACAACTGGTCACAGATGAGAAAAAATATTCCTTCCAAACAACTGGCATAATGACCATCTTAGGTGAATTATCTAGGGATTGAACCGCTAGGGCTTCATGTTTAATGTGGATGTAACCGAGTAACGTTCATAAACATGAAAATTTAAAAAACGCTGTTCAATCCATATCTATACATTTTTAATATAGAACAAATGTTTAGTTTTATTTATTTGTTCTTAAATAATAAATTAATTTACTGCTTTTTGTTTATGGTCCTTCTTTAAAAGACATTGTCAGAACAGCCCTATTTTAATCGAATTGGCGCCAATAATTAACCATAGTCATTTGAGTGTTTGACCGAAGGACGTAGGGGCATTCTTCATGTTATCCGAAGCGAAGCGACAAAACTCTCATTGAACAAGGTTAATCCATGACGTCACAAGTAAACCACTTGTTACGTCACTAGAGTTTTTGCTTTCATACTCAAATGACATGCATTTCTTCCGGTAATGTTCATATAGTGGGTTGCAGTGCAAATGTTAATATATTGTAATTTCACAATGACCCCAGTTTTGCATTTTTCTTCCATATAAAATGCATAACTAGGGAATATGATTCACAAAAGCAGTCAAAACTACCTCCTCGAAGGTGATGGTAGCACTCTCCTGCCCAGGGAAGCCTCCGCCGATATCTAGCAGCTTCATGTCGAACCCCAAGTCAAGGCCATGGTCAAACACAGTACGTGCTTGCTCTACAGCAACAGCGAAGGCATTCGCCTCTTCACACCCACTGCCCACATGAAAGCTGTAATATATTACATCTCCAGTTACATTTAGAGTAAAACTACTTGAAATGGTAGGTGAATAGGTAAGTAAGTGGATAGGCTTGTAGGTGGATAAGTGGGCAGGTGTATAGACATGTAGGAAGGCAGATAAGGTCAGTGGATAGGCCAGTAGATAAGTGGGAGGTAGGAAGGAGGATAAGTAGGCAGGTAGACAAATAGGTAGGTTGGATGATAGCCAGGTAGTTAGATAGGAATGTAGGCGTTTAGGTTGATAGGAAGATTAGTCAGTAGGTGTTAAGATAGGTAGGAGAATAGGTAGGTGGATAGGCAGATAGGTACCTAGGATGATAGCTAGTGGATAGGTAGGTCAGTGGATAAGAGAATAGGTAGGTCAGCAGATAAGAGAATAGGTGGGTAGGTCAGTAGATAGGTAGGTCAGAGGATAGGAGAATAGGTGGGTAGGTGTAAAGGTAGATAAGAGGATAAGTTGGTAGGTGGATAGGTAGGTCAGTGGATAGGAGAATAGGTGGGTAGGTCAGTAGATAGGTAGGTCGGAGGATAGGAGAATAGGTGGGTAGGTGTAAAGGTAGATAAGAGGATAAGTTGGTAGGTGGATAGGTAGGTCAGTAGATAGGTAGGTCAATTGATAGGAGAATAGGTGGGTAGGTCAGTAGATAGGTAGGTCAGTAGATAGGTAGAGAAGAGGATAAGTTGGTAGGTGAATAGGTAGGTCGGTGAATTGATTAGTACTCATTAAAGTTTTCATACAGATTTTTGAATGTAGAACATTATAGGACTTGTCTGTTGAAAGTCAGATTAATGTGAAATCTTTGTACAACGAGGTCAAGTTTGTTATTTCAAAATTAGATTTGCCCTATTTCATATAACATAACAACCTAAACATAACTGTTACCTGACTCCCATCACAGTGAGATTGTAGCGTTTAGCAGCCTCCAGTAGGTGGCGCGCTTTGTTGGGATGACAGCCGAACTTCATTCCCAGCTCACACTGGACCTTAAAGTTGGTAGGAGGCAATATCCTGAGCACCAGCCTGTCAAGTACAATCACATGAGTGTACTCAACAACATGTTTGGTTAAACTTATTTAACTTGAACAAATGACCCAGCTTTGAACTATTTTAAGGGTGTTTTTTCCCCCAGTATATTTTATGTTCGGCGACAAATGTATTAAGAGCCCACAACTTCCTCCAAAATAACGCCAATCTATCATATGATGCTGATAATATACTGAGTTGTGCAGCTAGATAAATGTAATCTGGAATGAATAATGAGGATAATAGCCTTGTACAAGATTTCAAGAAGAGATTTCCTATGGTGAGAAATGAATTGATGAACGTTTCACAGCATGTAGATGCTGCCTCACAACTACTTACTGTGCATCTGGGTAGAGGGCCTTGATCTTGATCAATTCATCCTCATTGTCAAAAGTCATGAGGGACACCTGATTCTTGGCTGCATGTCTGATGAAGGACATCTGCTTACAAGGGTTGGCATAAATGATGCGGGAGGGATGCACCCCCAGGTCCAAGATCTTCTGGATCTCATTCTAAAACAGAAAAACGTACCAGATGTTTGAAATCGTACTCAATGAAGATGCAAAATACCAGAAAATATCTTGAGTAATAAAAATTATCTGAAGTATGTTAATCATTTTTTTTCAATTATCCTGTTATATACAATATATATTGGTATAATGCAATATTTTCAAACTAGTCATTTCATGGATAACCTGCTGATGAAGCATGTCTTAAAGTCTGTTCACCATAGAAAGCTTACCTTACTGGCACAGTCAAAAGACAGTCCCAGGTCAACAAGGAGCTTCAGCACGGCGTAATCATCATTACACTTGACCGCTGTAAACAAACCACAGATTAAAACAAGATTTCAAGCCACACATTCCACACTTACATTATTGATGAATAATGTTCATTGGTTTATGAAGTATTTTAATGTCAGCTAAACTCTCTAATTGTAATGTCATGTTGTCAGTGTCATCTATTGTACCTTTTGCATTATCTAGAGTAAGTTACCAAGGTTATCTAGACATTATGGAAAACGAGTTCTACAGGTTCAACATGCAAACAGGGATAGACAATAGTCTGATAGTCTGAGGCTAGTGAAATGTCCAGCTGGACTAGTAGTTCTGTACTGCTAGCCCGATTAACAAGTCAAAATTTGATATCATGTTGAATCATATTGGGTTGGTGGAAATTGTGTATGGACTAATAAAACCAGAAACTGTAAGTCCAACTGTGTAGTGTTTTTAAAATTAATTTCTAGTCCTGGCACACTATTTTCAAAACACATGATCATACAACTTCCAAATATCATCATACAAGTATATTGTGATACACATTTTAGTTACAATATATACAATTAGTGTGTTTATACAGACCTAGAGTTGTAATTGTTCAATATATATATATATATATATTATAAATCAGAAAAATGATCCTTACGGACGAATAAATATTATATAAAGAAACAAGAGACCCATGGGCCTTAACGGTCACCTGAGTCCTACAGTATTTATTTTTGTTGTTGAAATATGTACCAATTTGAGTAAAAAATAGTATAATGTTAACTTAACTTTGTCAGGACCATGAGCTGATCATTCCTAGACCAATTTTAAGTGAGATCGGCCTATTAGAACTTAGTAGCAAAATAGCGGCCATGGCAGCCAAATTGTATTTCTGATTGACCCGAAAAATAACAACACTTTGTCAGGACCATGATTCGATCATTCCTACAAAGTTTCAGTTCAATCGGCCAAGTAGATCTTTACTTTAAGTTTGAAATAGTTTACCAAAATGGCAGCTGTGGTGGCCATATTGGATTTCTGATCGACCTGAAAAATAACAACACTTTGTCAGGACCATGAGTCAATCATTCCTACAAAGTTTCAGTTCAATCGGCCTAGCAGAACTTGACTTTAAGTTTGAAATATGTTTTCAAAATGGTGGCCGTGGCGGCCATATTGGATTTATGATTGACCTGAAAAATAACAACACTTTGTCAGGACCATGAGTCGATCATTCCTACAAACTTTAAGTTCAATCGGTCCAGCAGAACTTGACTTTAAGTTTGAAATAGGTTTTCAAAATGGCGGCCGTGGCGGCCATATTGGATTTCTGATCGACCCGAAAAATAACAACACTTTGTCAGGACCAAGAGGCGATCATTCCTACCAACTTTCAGTTCAATCGGCCCAGCAGAACTTGACTTTAAGTTTAAGCTAAAGCTCAGGTGACCTTAAAAATCTTAACAACGAGTCTTTAGTACTTTCATCTCTTCTAGGAGATTCTTCAGACTGTTTATTTGAAGTATTGACGTCATAAACTATGACGTCGCATAATAGTTCGCTATAAGGACGTCCGCCATATACGTACCCGCCATAACGATATCACAGCAATATGAATATATTAATTATAGTCTTAAGGCAAAGAGTACTATATGTTTAGGATTTAGATATACTAGTATATCTAAATCCTAAACAAATAGTACTCTTAGCAACTTCATTCTCTGATCATTAATTTCATTGTACAGATAAAGCAACATGTTAACATTTAAGTTTTCTACAGGACAGTTACAAAGTTGCTAATTTTCTTCAGGACAGTTACAAAGTTGCTAGTTTTCTTCAGGACAGTTACAAGCTTGCTAGTTTTCTTCAGGACAGTTACAAAGTTGCTAGAAGGACAATTTTCTACAAATAGTAGCTAGAGAGTGACCTTTAATTTGGCTGTAGCACCCTAAAACATATAGTTAATACTGGTACTTGTTCAATGTATTTCCATGCTTGATTATAATATGAAGTTTGATTAAAATCCATAAAGGGAGGTTACATGTGTGATGACACAAGTATCTTTACCAATAATAAGTAACCTTGACCTTGGTGCAGCCTCCGAAACACTTACTCGTAGTAGGCATTCTCAAAATTAACTACTGTATAAAGTTTGTTCCAAATCTGTCAAGAAACGAAGCCACTGAGTATATTGTACACAAATAGTGGAGTAATAAACAGGTATGCGGGTATGTGCATGATCATAAAATCTGGCTATTTTAAGTTAACTGCCATTATACTTTTGCCTTTGAACAGGTGGATGAAAATAAAGCACAACGTGATAAATCAGACAGAAAACTGAAGTTTTAATTATAAATTAACCTATCACACAGGAGGGTGAATTCCACACAAGATCAACACAAATGAAAAAGACAGGGCAAAAACTTTAACAGGTGATATTATTGTGATTGAAAGTAGCCACGTATGCTTACCATAGAATGGACGAACCCTGGGCAATTGCTTGTTCCATTTGTTGTACTTCTCGTAGATATCGCCCAAGTCTGCCACAAAGAAGGCATCATCCTTTTTCTGGAATTATAACATGAAATAGGTAAAAGTTTATCATCCATAAAATGGGACACAAAACACACTTATTTCTTTTATAGAAATGCACCTTTACCTCTTACCAATAGACAATACCTGTATTTATCCTCACTAATATCAGGTCCTTAAATGATCTCAGCTGTTGATAGGATGTTACGCACTATACAACTAACCTCATTAACATACAATTAAGTATAATACACCATTCTTAAATAAAAGACAATCATACAATACACAATCTTCTGTTGAACCCTTGCTATGTTAAATCTATTTTCGAATAGGAGATTTTCTTTTTTGATAGGCACATTTTGGCGGTTCCATGACATCTTACAGAAATGAACAAAGAACTTAATTGCTATTTATCACGAAAATATATCAGATGAGTATCCCCCTAAAAAATACTATGGTCTGTTTTGTGTCTCCATATCAGAAGAAAAGATATTTTTGGCATCAGAATTATGTTTTAATTACTTATCTTGTCGATTATTTTATAACAAAGAAATTTCACAGCTCATTTGAAAATTTTGGAAGATTTCAACTCTTGAACTATTTCATTTTTAAACTGTGTCTATAAGGTGACAAATCTATGTGATTTTAGCCTTATCGGTACATTTAACTTTTAGGGGGATTTAACTCCGATCACAATACTTTAATTATGTGTATGCTTACCAATCTTTGTCAACCAGGTGTTGTGCTTAGTTGACTATAGCCATGTTAAGCTAACCAATCTTTGTGAACTGAGCACTATCAGCACATTATTTAGGGTTTAACTCAACTCACAATACTTTTGTCAGGTGCAAGCTAACCTATCTTTATCAACAAGGTTTTGTCTGTATTAAAATATAGCCATGTTAAGCTAACCAGTCTTTGTGAAGTGAGGTTTATCAGCATGTATTGTTTATATATAAATATATGCCAAGTGTAATCTATCCAAACAAACCAGAATTATGTAGGCCTGATAATTACATAGGACACCACAGTACATGCTGTTGAGCAATATCAACTAGATAAGTTAACCTGCTGATGGATCTCTGCCCATCATGACGTAGAGGTAACACTCAGTAACAGTAAATATGAAATTGGATTTAACCCAGTACTGTAATATTACCTACAAACAGGGGTCAAACCAGGGTCATACAGTCATAGCCTACATTGTTTAATCTATTTTTGTCATAATCCTTATGGTTCATGGCTAATATTGGACATGTATGGATAATTATCAGATAACCATTCTAGATCTATACCCTTTAAGTTTAAAAAAAAAAATGTCTGCTTTATTCTGCCTCCATGCACGAGGGGTCAAGAAAAAGATAAGAGTGATGACGTCTGTGACCACAGCTTATTATCAAGTGGAGAAGTTACACTGTCCTATACATGTATACATAGTAGCTTAATACGTCAGAACCTTGATAATCTGAAAATCTGTGATATTTATATAAACTGGTTCACTAAAATTTGTTGGGGTTTGGTTATTATCAGCTATATATGGTCGTTTACTACTAGGTTTTGATGGTTGAAGAAAACCTGAGTACCCAGAGAAAAACTACCGATCAGTACATGGCCTTAAACTTGCGACCCAGTGATGGAGGCTAGTGATTGCCTTCAACCACTGGGTTGCAGAGGGCAATCACCCATTTTGGGGGGTCAAATGGCATTAGTTAAATAATGAGCCAAAGAGTGAAAAAATCAGAACTTGTTTTTGGGAGTCTAATGCATACTCTAAAGTGTCTACCAAGGCCCTAATTATTTTGTTCAGACAATTTTCATTGTATTTGGAAACCTGCATTTGATACTGATTATACATTTATTTGTTAATTTACCAATGGCCATTTCTGTTCACCCTTATTTTCTTTTTGGCCCATTGTTGGAAAACAATTGAAATCATAAATTAAAATGTCACTTGGAATATTACATGGTCAGTTATACATAGGGATGAATATGGCAACTCACCTCGAGGTTCTGGGTTTGAATCTTCTCCTCTACAAGACTCTGTGTTGACCTCTCACAGGTCAACATCTCAACCATACATTTTTTTCCGATGTATTGTTTCATGTTGGACAACTATTAGACTAACAAGTTTGATAAGATAGTAGATAAGCTGTACAAACAATCTGAAACAGAAATTAAAACATTTTCATCATATACACAGATCTAGATATACTCCTTTTAATACCCGATAAACACAAAAATCAGAAGACCAAAATATATCGAGGCATTGCTTTAAACATTTGGCAAAATAATTGTCAATACTCAAGAAAAGTTAAAATTTTCAATATTGATAAAATGAAAAATGGAATGCATTATTTGTTTTGTCATGTTAAAACTGTGTGATCTACCAGTACTGGTATAATTTATCTGATTCATAAATAATCTGAAATGACAGAGAAACAAACCCATTTTGGAGAATTAAGATTTTATCTGGACAAATCTGGAAGAGGAAGGGGGCCATTTTTTAACAAGGAATGTGTTTGTTGCATACTTATTCCTTTTTCCTTTCTGGTTTCATGAAAATGTTCAATGTTTTAATGATCTTTCCTCAAACAAATAATTTGGAAGTTATTTAAATTTTACACTGGATGGAAAGATTTTTCCCATACTTTTTCTTAAAACAAATCAAAGGACTCTTTAGAAAATTTGAAAATCAAGATATTTAGTTTTTCAGCAGAGCTTACTTTGTGGACAACTTTTGTTCCTTTACTGTATTCATTTTAACTCTTACCCGGCCTACGGAAACACCTGCACTTAGCCGATACTAGCTGGGATCCCACGGTGGTTCTGCGTTGAAGTTAAACTTCTTCTTTAAACGACACAGGCCCTCAAAGCTTTCTATGTAGAACACCTCTGAGAAACCTCCCTAGAACAACAGTAAATAGGCAAATTTTAACTTTTATAAAACTAAAAAAAAATGTTTGTATAACATACATGTATGCCCCAACTCCCATCTTGATGAAAATGGACATAATGCAAAATCTAATCAAAGTTGGTGAAGCAGAAAATATCGGTCAGTGCGACTGATGTGTTGATGTAGGAGTTAGAATTGAAAGTAACAAGCAAGTCCATTAAAAAAATGACTCTATATTCCTCTCCTGATGTTATACCCACCATGTAATAATTACTTTCACCAACACCTAAAGAAGAATGTTGTACACTGTACCAGCAAGAAATGATTTGAAAAATAAACAACCCTACATACATGCAAACTGACACATTTCCTGCAAAGAATCTTTGATAAAAGTCAACATGTTCAAATGTTGTTGGAAATTTGATACAGTATCATTTTAACTTCTTATGGATAGAGTGAAGAGCCATCATACTTATACACCTTTTGTACATAACTTCATGGTGTCGTAGTTATGACAAAGGCTACCCTGCTCCTCCCACACTTTGGAATTAAATTTAGTTACAGAGGCTAAGGTCAAAGGTACAAAAAGTCCTGCAACATGCTGAACTCACAGAGGAGCTTCATTAGCTTGCGAATGTATGTGACCCTCGCTTTAGTACAGTCTGACATGTGATAGCTTTACAAAGGTTACACAAGACAAGTTCATAGGTCAAGGTTACCAAAATAATGCGCATTTCAGCATGTGAAATTGTGTGATCCTAGCTGCGGTATGTTGAAAGAGTCCATATATAACTGACCTTGACACAAAAACTTACCCATCTGGACCAACGGGGAGACATATTTACAAACAAGGCTAGCTCTCCCCAAGCCATGCCACATCGGGGCGAGGCATTATTAATATAATGTATATAAATTTATCTCTGTAAAGCACCTTGGAATGATTAATTACACCAGGCACTTTACAAATATTTCTATCTTTTTTTTTTTAAATATTAAAATATTGCTGAAAGGTAAGAGCACAGTGGTTGTGAACCTATTTTTATCTATGGAAGAATGTTAAGAATCCAAAAATTCTAGTGTATTTCAACAAAAGTGACCTTTTACATATATATTCATAGTATAATTACATCATGTGGCTTGTTATTCAACAATATTATAATGTATTCCTATTTCGACTGCCATCACTTAACCATATCTTTTCATTTTCAAAACTTTGAAGTAAACAAACATAATGTTTATATTAAAGGGACATCACAGGAAAGTAATTTGTTGCGTCTTTTCCTCCGAATATTAATATATATATCGAGTGTATCTCCTTATAGAAAAGGACTGTCGGATTAAGCTGAAATATATTAGTTCATAAAAATGGATAATTAATAATAAAATTTAGGTTACTGACCAAGGTATTGTATGGTAGTTTTATTGCGCCACATCTGATGAGGCATGTGCATAACACGTCATTTCAGTGTAAGAGTTGTGCTAGGATTACATTTAATACCCAGTGTTTTGGATACCTAAATTTTACAACAGCCTGTTCCTTAATAAATTGGGAAAATATAGCATTATTTGTGTTAAAATTGGGAATATATTCCTCAGTTTTAGGTCATTTTGGGAAAATAAGGCACTTTTTAGCTAGGGGAAACAGTCTACATATTCAGCAGTAAAACTGAGCAAAACAAATCACTGAATTACTGAAGCATTATTGCGGATCTATGGGAAGTATTCAAAACAGAAAATAACTGACTGTTTCGGATAAAAGGAATGAATTTATACTGTGGAAATATTCTATTCATACAAATTCCAGATATTAGGGACGAGATTATATTTATTACCATTACCGAATCTGCTACTAAAACAAACATTTGCATGTCCTATGGCCTTAATAAAATACAAAATATATCTGTCCCATGCCTGTAGCTGTGTTAAAAAAATCAATGTTCCATTACAAGAGAACAAAATTTTACAATTAATGAAAGTCATCTAAACATAAAAAAAAAGGTTCATTTACAAGTATATGCTTATATCTATGCGTAAATTATTGAAAACATGATGCATATCAAGTATCTAACAACTTCCATATCTGATACATATTATACATTAACATTGTATTTGCTTTGCCAGAAATGTTTACTGTGTGCAAGGACTTATAAATATAAATATCAATCTAATACTGTGAGGTTGCCATCATATGCCACAAGGCTGTTTATCATTTTATATAGTAATATGGCAGAGGTCATTTTACGGCGTTCAGTTCAGTTTTTTTAGCATTTCTGTAACGCTACTGGTGTAGTTATAATTTTATAGCGCCCAAGAGTGTACCTGGCAGCTCTTATCTGCACCATTTCAACCTTATGAGCAAGATTTTCCTGCCATGGATTCCAGATTGGGCTACAGTATTCAAGGTGTGGACGGACATACGTTTTATAACTCTTTTGTTTTTACATTGGTGGTTTTAATGTTTCTCCGAATGAATCTTAGGGATGCATTGGCCTTATTGGTAATGTTATTGATGTGGGTGTTCCAACTTCCATGAAAAGTTTTTAGTCATAGTTAAGACCAGGTATTTAGCCCAATCTGCTTGCTTGAGAATTTGTCCATGAAGAATGTAATTAAATTTGTGTATCAGTCTTTTCTTTGAGATGTGTAGAATTAGGACATTAGCCAATTTTGTTCTCAATTTTCAAGAAGATTTAAATCTTTTTGTAGCATTTCTGCATCAGAGTCGGATGAAACAGTTACATAGACAATAGTGTCTTCTGCAAAAAGTCTAACTTGGCTTGTGATAAAGTCTGGTAGATCATTGATATACATTAGAAAAAGGCAGGGCCCCCATGACTGAGCCGTGGGGGACTCCAAAGAGAACAGGACAGGACGAAGATTAAGTGTTACTTACAGCAACTTTCTGACTACGGTCAAGGGAAAAACTTTGGACCCAAGCAATAACTTTGCTGTGAATGCCAAAACGAGTGAGTTTTAGAACGAGTCTGGCATGGTCGACTTTGTTGAAGGCCTTTGAAAAGTCCATAACGGCTACATCTGTTTGATGACCCATATGCATGCCAGTGCTAGATTATTATAGATGTCTGAGGTAAACATTTGGAGTGGAAACCATGCTGGACAGGGCCGGGAAGATTATATTTGTCGTCTGAGTCATGATACTTCTGGTAAGGATGTGTTCTATCATTTTTGCAGGCTTTTGTGAGAAATAGATTAGAGGTCAAGTTCACAGCTCTAGATGAGATTATTTTGTTATGGAAATTTTCAATTGGTCAGACCACGGACTTAGATACTGATACAGTGATAGCAATAATCTAATCCGTGGTCTAACTGACAACAGTGTCAAACAAATCGTTGGTCAAATTGGACCACCATGTGACTGACACGTATTATATCAGCAGAATATGTAAAGATAGGAGATGATGTGTAACTGATTAAAATAGAATTTAACATCATTCAAGGTTTTTAGTTATACAATTTTATTGGTGTCAGTTTCACACACTTAATTAATTCAACCAAACCTCTTTTCACAACTTTCAACAATTAAACTGTTAAAGACGTGTTAGAACTGTAGTATGGGCCGGTGCAGTTGTTAGTGACCCGTACTTGACCCGAAGGTGTATGCCGGACAACCATGTGCTCGAGGCATGTCAGTCTGAACTCGTGTTTCATTGATTACAGTCCCAAACTAGTCCTAAATAGGAAACGGGGCAGTTTCGACAACTTACCTGTACAGAACCTTCGGAACCGCGGGGTCTCGTTGCCTTTTCGGGAGGAATTTTGTCTGGTTATATTATATTCCTTACAGAAATAACTATAATCCCCATATATGTTGACATGGACCCCAACTTTATGCGTCTACGTCGTCCACCATGTAACCGGGATTATTGAACGGAAGACAGTACAACGTCCGTATATGTATACACACCACAGCGCAATGATATCAGAACTACTTATTTTAATCACGGTCTGTAATGTATGATGTGGTTTATTGTTTAGTGTACCGTACGCTTGCATTTCATGTGTACCATTTCGTCGCTTAATCAAATGCGCCATTGTTGTTAATCTTGCAAACGTTATGAGAGACGTTTTCATGTTCAGGGACCCACTTGGATACATTGTATAATGTCATAACTGGATCTAAATCATTGAACAATACTACCGTCACAGTACCCAAATCGGGACAGAAGATCTACCCAAATCGGGACACTTGAAGGATTCAAGATTCAAGATTTAAGAAGCTTTATTTAACGTCGCATATACATGTAACATAATTACATTAGCACTGTAGTGCTATTCTTGCGACAAAACATATATAAAATTTAACATGGATCACAGTACTTATGAATAAATATAAAAACAGGACAACAATTCAATTTAGATATGCTAAAATTATACAGTAGAGCATATGATATCACACTTGAATGTCACACAAGTGTTACAAAAGACAAATTAAGACACTATACTAGTGTTAAGTACATATATGCTAATGTAGCAAAGTGTAAAAATTCACAGGATATACATTAATATAGTGTAATTAAAAAGAGACAATGAAGTCATAAATAGAAACAGAGCTATAATTATGATATTGTAAAAAAGTAATGATCTTTTAAATAATTGAGCTCAAATCTAAAATAAATATCAATTATATAATAAGTCTATTACTGAAGTATATTAAATTAAAAAACACATTTAAATTTAAGGAAAAAGTTACAAGAAATTGCATGATGTGCAGAGAAGTATTATAAATTGAAAATATTGATTTAAATATGCTAATATACCAATAAAACATTATATGAACTTTGAATTTAGTTACTGCTAATGGTTAGAATCACATATTTAGTTTGTAAATAATGACGAAAATGTAACGTTCTATATATTGATGCGCCATGCGACGGTTATTGACTTTCAATTTTTGTATGTGATTTTTCACAATCCTATAATTTCATAACTAACTAATGGTAGTTTGGAAAAGAAATTCATTCAGAACGAACCCCACTCTTAAATATTCCAAAGATATGCCATGTTTTGCTAAATATTTTTTTAATCTCTAAATATATGCCAAAACTGGTAGGAGTGTCCGATTTGGGTACAGCTACACCTGTTTCGCGATTACGTCACCATGACTGTGGTTCTATTTATAGAACCACTCGCTGGAAATATCAACTTGTTATAAAATGAAAAGATAATTATTTCCTTTATTTCCTCCAGAAATGAAGAGTTACAGAAATAACGAACAAAACACTATTGAAAAGAGAAGAAAATGCATTCACAATCAATTTTGGTATTATCTCTTTTATATGCTGTACCTATATGTATGTGATATATTACCTGTAACCTGAATAAAAACAAAATAAGAATAAGATGTCCCGAAGTTCTGTATGATATGCTTTAATAAAAACCAAGTCAGTAGCCTTAAAGATGCAAGTTACATGTTACTAATTAAATGGTACCTTATTCAAATTCAAATTAAAATTAAAAATTATTACGTTTTATTCTCGCGCAACAGGTATTAAAAAGCGGACATTTTTACCTGATACATTTTTATTTAGCTTTTTTCTAATTATTATTTTGATTTGTGAAGTTTTGCGCCATTTTGTTGGGTACTCCGTCACTAGATCTACTCTATTAAGTGATATACAATGAGGTCTATTTATAACAAATGTTTTAAAACACACACACACACACACACACACGTGTGCACTGAAACGCGTGGAGACTTTCACGATTTAAAAGAAAAAAAGTAGTCCAACCACGCTGGCAATTATTTAGTTGTGAGAAGCGTAAATCGGATGCGAGAGTAAAATATAAGATGAAAACTTACTTTTTTATTTGTTATTATATAGAGAAGCTGTTATTAGAATGATATAATAATATATTATGTAAAAAAAAAAGTTGTTTTTTTCACTTTATTACAAGAAAACTGCCGTTTATAAGTTCGTTTGTCGGGACACGGAATTAAGTCCGTGGTTCTATTCACGTGATTTTTTTTAACAGTGCCCACCGATCTATAAGTCAATTATTCAATTACCGAAATTTCAATTTAGCCTGCACAGTAGTGCTGTCAGCAGCCGATCTAGACCCCTGTTATGGTGATGGTTGTGAAACAACTGTACCGCGAAACAATAACAACCGGAAATAGCGACAGCACATTAACCACATGTCCAGTTAGTCCGAATTATTCTGACGTTTTATCAACTTTTTTCATATCGGTCTGTCGTCGATTAACCGACGACAGACCGATATGAAAAAACTTGATAAAACGTCAGAATAATTCGGACTAATGTCAAGTAGGCTCTAGCCCATAGTTAGCGAGACCGGAGTCAAGCGGAGTAATATCTTCATGTCCAGCGCTCATTTACACTTATAATGCATACAGTCTAGATCGGCGTGATACTATGAACGGTTATGACAACATCGCATGTTTTCTGGAACGGGATCATTTTACTAGGGGGGACAGAGCTAGCAACATTGATTATGTTATAGGTGTATTCATATCGTTACAAGTACCCAAAATCTTGTACTAATATTAATGCCCGGCTTCCTCTGTCTGACGACGAAATAGATACAGTAAGAAAATGTCTCGTCGTCAGAAGCTACGTTATCGTAGCTACCCCGAATCTTTCCTCGCTCACTTCCTTGCTCTCACAAAGTTGGTGAACTTCGACTCATTCGTGACCATCCTCCTTTTTTCCTCCTGGAAAGCTGCACTATCTCGTTGCAGACCTGTTTGTGCCAACCGTACAAAATATTAGTGCATGCTATACCGGACAGGGTCCTCCCTGTTTGGCGGACACTGTAGCACATCGTAATCGTACATCGGCTTCAACAGGAAGCTTAGTATGTACACGGAATTGCTATCTAAGTCCGTGTTCTGTAACACTCCGTCTCCAAGATGTCATTTCAGGGACTTAGCGCTGTATTTTCCTATCTCAAAGTCGTATTCATGCATTATAGCGTTGCTTAGTTCGATTTTCCTCTTCCTACAACAACAGGCATCTATCTGTCAAAATATCACAAGGTATGGTGTTGGAGCCAGAGAAACCTCGGAAGCGTTGCCCGTCTGGATCTGGACATTTTCCCTATTCCTCTATGTCTTGCTTCTGACTACTTTACAGTTGGTTTCACGTTCCACTTCCGGTCTGTTCGTGTATCAACCTTCAGTCCGCTGACCTTGCTGCCTCACTGTCCCCAACTTGAACTTTATCACTAACCCTACACAAGCAAAATATACGCTATTTTAAAGATTGGAGGAACGCCCATCCAATGCTGCAGGGATCGATATGTTAATCCTGTCCATTCCCCTGCACCAATGCTCAGTGGGCATAACCTTTAGAGTGAGACGAGAAGACCAGTTTCAGATCTTTTGATGTACAAATTTTGGTCGTATAACGGTAAAATAGACTGGTTTGAAGTCGGATTTGGCCTTTTTGCTTTTTTACACTAACAACATTGTTGCCGATTTCCATTTCTTCATTTCGTTTGACGCCACTCGTTAAGCTCCACCCATCATTCCATCTGAGATACACGAATTGTAGTACGGAAAGACATACTTTAAATATAACACAATGCCCTCTTCTGCACCCGGAACATTTACATTTGTTAGTACTAGGTTGAACATTTACATTTGTTAGTACTAGGTTACAGACAGTGATCCCAAGCCAATGGCTCTAATTTTATGTTACTCAGTCCTCGCTGGTCGGAAGGGGTGGTCATATTGGATGCGTAGTTTAAAACCCAGCGGACATTTGTAGTACAGTAAACTTCTACAAATAAAAATTCAAATCCAGACAATGTCGTCATCAAATAGACATGCAGCCCACATCGCAGGACAGTTTTTATCTTCAAAAGCTTTGGTGAGCTCGCCCCATCGTCTTTTATGTGTGCGAGTTGGTGTGAACAGGGACGTATACTGTCTATATACCGTCCCTGGTGTGAATGATCTAACCTGCATAAATTATTTTTATATCAGACCGAACCTATGTGCTTTAAATAATTATAGATCTGAGTACTAATTTACTAATTTTCATTTCACCTCGATGTTTATATTTGCAATTTTGCCTAGCCCGTATATAAAAGCCTAATTATAGGCAAGCATATACCATAATTTGTGAATCTAACTAAAAAGGATAAAGTTACTTTGGGGAGGGTAGAAAGAAAGTCATGACCTCGATCACTTCTTTCTGGATTTGTTAGAAGTTGTTAGAAGTGTTACACACTGAGAGCTTCACATGATACGAATTAATTAAAATATCAATTTGGAGCAGGTCCATTATATCACGGACTTACATAGCTAATTACGTGATGATCAGTCATCAAATTGGCGTCGAAATGTAACGTTGCATGCTGTATGACGGCATATTTATGCTGATTCCAACGTGGACCGACCCCAGACTGTCTGTCCGAACTTGACACGAGGCGGTGCACGTTTGGTCATCCAATCTTCCAGCAGAAAAAAAGTTAATGATTATTCAAATACGGTCGTGTTTGTGCTTTTATTATTATTTTATGGAAGGCATAGGATTTCTCTTCAATATGGTGTGTATACACATAAATTAAAAAAAAAATGCATTGTGCCCAAAACGACTTAATACAAATTGGCCGAACTTACCCCGGTCTCCCCCATAAGTTGCATGCATACCTCGTAAAGACAAAATCTTTAAAAAAAACCCCACCATGTTACGGAATAGTCCTAGAAAATAGTTACCTGTCTAATTAAAATTTTGGAATCAAAACGCACCAATCTTTTATAGCATTTAATAATCAAGAGAAAAAAATCGATTTATCATTATAATATATATACATTTACTTTTGGTTGAATCAAGATGTTGCGTTTCCAGCGGTTTAGCGATGTTGAAGCGATTCAACGGAATCGACACATTTCATACAAATATAGAACATTCGGGGAACAGGTAACGATGACC